AGCAGTACTCGTGCTGTGTAGGTCTTGGGACCTGTGGCTTAGTTTCTGTAATGAACTGTCCTCTGAACTATATTGTAAGTTATATTCATTTTGGTCAAGTTGATTTTATTCCCTGTCTCACTGCTTATACATACCATCCCATTTATCTAAACCACAATAATGTTCTCCTGTTCCCAAATATATTATTGTACAAGGACTTAATAATAAACTGTGTGTGAGTAGAATAGTAATATTCACCGTCCCCGTTATTTATTCTTTTATTTTTTTTATTTCAAGTAGTGAGAGGGTGAGTAGTGTGGTGAGAAGAGTAATGAGAGGTGAAGGTGTAGTCACCAGTGACCTCACATTACCTACCAACCTCTGCACTCATCCCTCCTACTGCCTCGCCTGTCCCCTACCTACTGACTCCCTCCTCTTACTCCCATATTCCCCTAAACATTACCCCCCGTACATAACACTCTGTGTCTCTAGTTCATGTCTGTGTGTGGCCATTTTCTCCCTTATTTGTTCCCGAAGCTCTTGGTGGCATGGTCGCGCCTCTGCATATAGCCTATGCCCCTCAGAACCTGCAACCAATTGCTCTCCCCCTTCATTCCTTGGCCCTGCTTGGTGGGCTAATAGGGCCTTAACATAAGTTATGTCTCTTTGCTTCCCGTTTGGCCCCTCGTTCAGTAGGGGTGTACCAGCTTCAGATGCCGTGTCTCCTCTGGTCAATACCCCTGTAACTTGCATCAGCCTATTTACCTCATATTCTAGGACCTTATCCTGGCTACTGCAGCTTCAACTTGTGACTCCCAATTCTTCTTCTCCTCCTCCAACCTCTTTTCCAATTTCACAGAAAGCTCTGTCTCCATTTTTGCAGGAAGCTCTCCTAGTTTTCTCTCCCCCTCTTGTTCCATCCTTTCGCATTGCTCTTCCATCCATTCTTTCTTACCAGAACCATTCTCCTCTGATCCCTGGGGGTCTTCGAGTCCCCTTCTGAGCTACCATCTTTTTTTTCTAGAGGGAATAGGGGGCGGAAGGGAGGAAGGAAAAGAGAGGGGAATGGGGGGATAGTAGGAGGGAGAGAGAGAAAAAGGAAAGGGGAAAGAGTGAGAGAGAGGGGATAGGTAGAGGGGAGAGTGAGAGAGATGGAGAGAGAGAGATTGGGAGAGAGAGAGAGAGAGAGAGAGAGAGAGAGAGAGAGAGAGAGAGAGAGAGAGAGAGAGAGAGAGAGAGAGAGAGAGAAACAGACAGACAGACAGAGAGAAAGTGAGTGGGAAAGAGTGAGTGTGTGTTGAGTGTGTGCAGTGTACTTACCTACTTTTGGGGGCAGAGTGTCGAGAGGGATAGAGTGGTTGGTAGGTGGGTGGTGGTAGGGGGGAGAGGGGGAATGCCTGAGTGGGGGTCTCTTGTGGGCCAAAGTGGGGGTTAGGGAGGGGAGACTGTGAGGGTGGGAAACCTTGAAGGGGGGAGAGACTGTGAGTTGAGACATTGTTTTATGCTAGTGTGCCCAGAAGTAATCTGTGCCTCACCTTTCTATGTATTAATATACTTACATCGTACTAATAGTAATAATAATAATAATAACAATAACAATAATAATACAAATAATACTACTACTCAGCTTCTACCAGCCTGAACACTGTCCTTTTGTGTACGTGTGTGTACTGTGCTTGTGTGTGTGTACTCACCTAATTGTACTCACCTAATTGTGGTTACAGGGATCGAGACTGCTCCTGGCCCTGCCTCTTCACTGAGCGCTACTAGGTCCTCTCTCTTCCTTCTCCATGAGCTTTATCATACCTCATCTTAAAACTATGTGTGGTTCCTGCCTCCATTACTTCACTTGCTAGGCTATTCCACTTCCTGACTAGTCTATGGCTGAAGAAATACTTCCTAACATCCCTTTGACTCATCTGAGTTTTCAACTTCCAATTGTGACCTCTTGTTTCTGCGTCCCCTCTCTGGAACATCCTGCCTCTGTCCACCTTGTCTATTCCACGCAGTATTTTGTATGTTGTCATCATGTCTCCTCGAACCCTCCTGTCCTTCAGTGTCGTCAGGCCGATTTCCCTTAACCTTTTTTCGTAGGACATTCCTCTTAGCTCTAGAACTAACCTTGTCGCAAACCTTTGCACTTTCTCTAATTTCTTGACGTGCTTGATCAAGTGTGGGTTCCAAACAGGTGCTGCATACTCCAGTATGGTCCTGACGTACACGGTGTACAGTGTCTTGGTCTCAGGTTTGCCTGCAGCAGTTATCTGGTTGATGTGTGCTTCTGGAGACGTGCTCGGTGTTATACTCACCACAGGATCTTTCTCCTTGGGCGAGGTTTGCAATCTTTGGCCACCTAGCCTATACTCCGTCTGCAGTCTTCTTTGCCCTTCCCCGATCTTCATGACTTTGCATTTGGTTGGGTTAAATTCGAGATGCCAGTTGCTGGACCAGGTGTCCAGTCTGTTCAGGTTTCTTTAAAGTCCTGCTTGATCCTCATCTGATTTAATTCTCCTCATTAACTTCACATCATCTGCGAACAGGGACACTTCTGAGTCCATCCCTTCCATCATGTCATTCACATATACCATAAATAGCACTGGTCCTAGTGTAGACAGCCTGTACTGTCTGCACAGACAGTCTTGCTGTCTGCCAGCTTAGTTCATATTTCGCGCCACTCAGGTGCTGCCCTCTGGGCCTGTCCAGGTCTCTGGGAAGCTGGTCTCACACTCTCTCACTCACACAGCGGCCTGGCAGCAAGACAGAAGGCCTAGTAGCTCCCTCCTCTCATGGGATGGCCCTGCCCGGGCCATGGGCACAACACACAAGCCTCTGCACCTACCACGACATTTTCAATAAACAAAGAAGACGTATCATTGAACCCCGCTACCATAATACCAATTAATCGCTGGTTCACACTAGGACTGACCTCTGTGGGACCCCGCTCGTCACAGGCGCCCACTGTGATACCTCATGACGTACCAAGACTCGTTGTTGCCTCCCTGTCAGTTATTCTCTGATCCATTGCAGTGCCCTTCCTGTTATACGCGCCTGATCCTCTAGCAGCTAGAGGATTAGTGCAGAAGCTAGACTGAGTCTAGCTTCTGCACTAATCTCTCGTGAAGAACTGTGTCGAAGGCCTTCTTGCAGTCCAAGAAGATGCAATCAACCCATCCCTCTCTCTCGTGTCTTACTTCTGTTACTTTATCATAAAACTCCAGAAGGTTTGTGACACAGGATTTGCCTTCCATAAATCCGTGCTGGTTGGCATTTATACTCTTGTTCCATTCCAGGTGCTCCACCACTCTCCTCCTGATAATCTTCTCCATGACTTTGTATATTATACACGTCAGTGACACTGGTCTATCGTTTAGTGCATCTTTTCTGTCTCCTTTTTAAAAATTGGGGACTACATTTGCTGTCTTCCATGCCTCAGGTAGTTGCCCAGTTTTAAGGGATGTGTTGAAGATTGTGGTTAGTGTGTGTGTGTGTGTGTGTGTGTGTGTGTGTGTGTGTGTGTGTGTGTGTGTGTGTGTGTGTGTGTGTGTGTGTGTGTGTGTGTGTTTGTATGTGTGTATGTGTGTGTGTGTGTGTGTGTGTATGTGTGTATGTGTGTGTGTGTGTGTGTGTGTGTGTGTGTGTGTGTGTGTGTGTGTGTGTGTGTGTGTGTGTGTGTGTGTGTGTGTGTGTGTGTGCGCATGTGCGCAGAGGGGGAGATAGATGGGGGAAGTACAGGGAATGCAGGAAGAGAGGGAAGAGGCAGTGGGGGAAAGGCTAGGGGTGAGAGGGAAGTGGGGTTGGGGCAGGGATATTCGGGAGGATGGGGTTAGGGTGTATACTGGCTGTTTATTATGTGTGTGCGTATGGACAACTCAATCAGGTGTTTGTTGACTGTGTGCGTTAAGTTACTGTTAACCTTGATTTAAATACAATAAGTCTGGGTATTTAAGGCTGCAGATTCACATGTATCAGATATGCCTATATCTCTAAACGTGGGATTACGACAATCGTTCGATGTTTTCATGGTGAAAGCTACACACGTGTCAGTGTATACACACATAGACACACCAAGAAATATACGACTTTCGGTGTATACAAAGATATACACACATCTCGGTGAATGTTCACTGAAAGTGTCACACCTTTTGAGAGTACTTACACTGAGAGCTTCACTTCTCGATGTAAATACACTGAGAGAGACATACACTGTGTATGTTAGGCCCATAATGGAGTATGCAGCACCAGTCTGGAACCCACACCTGGTCAAGCACGTCAAGAAGTTAGAGAAAGTACAAAGGTTTGCAACAAGGCTAGTCCGAGAGCTCAAGGGAATGTCGTACGAGGAAAGGTTAAGGGAAATCGGACTGACGACACTGGAGGACAGAAGGGTCAGGGGAGACATGATAACGACATACAAGATACTGCGGGGAATAGACAAGGTGGACAGAGATAGATGTTCCAGAGAGGGGACACAGGGACAAGGGGTCACAACTGGAAGCTGAAGACTCAGACGAGTCACAGGGACGTTAGGAAGTATTTCTTCAGTCATAGAGTTGTCAGCAAGTGGAATAGCCTAGCAAGTGAAGTAGTGGAGGCAGGAACCATACATAGTTTTAAGAAGAGGTATGACAAAGCTCAGGAAGCAGAGAGAGAGAGGATCCAGTAGCGATCAGTGAAGAGGCGGGGCCAGGAGCTGAGTCTCGACCCCTGCAACCACAATTAGGTGAGTACACTCACCTCTCGATGAATATACACTAAGTGGTACACATCGAGATATACACATTCACACATACACACACATTTCTCGGTGAATGTTGTGCAATGTGCAGAGTGTAGATGCAAGAGAATTATGGGAATATCATCGCATTAACTCGCATATTCTTCTCCCCGTCAAATATATTGCACACCAGACAGTCAAGCTTCATTGGCATTTAATACTGCAATGTTATGTATATAAACTACGAAGAGGATAAAGACACGCAGAATGTGAAGACAAACTGTTTAAGGAAGTAACACACACTCACCTATAAGGTCCCACTCCCCGTTGGTGATGTACCCACTGATGTCACCTCCTTCTTCATTGTTCATTTGAAGATCAATCTGCAAAAAAAAAAAAATAATAGAAGTAACGTAAGCCGTCACAGACAGTAATGAAACGCGATATTTTATATATATATATATATATTTTATATATTATATATATAATATATTATATATAATAAATATATATATATATATATATATATATAATATATATATATATATATATATATATATATATATATATATATATATATATATATTGAGTAGACTTCAGGATGTACATGTTTATAGAGGGGCCACAGATATATCAGATCACTTTCTAGTTGTAGCTACACTGAGAGTAAAAGGTAGATGGGATACAAGGAGAATAGAAGCATCAGGGAAGAGAGAGGTGAAGGTTTATAAACTAAAAGAGGAGGCAGTTAGGGAAAGATATAAACAGCTATTGGAGGATAGATGGGCTAATGAGAGCATAGGAAATGGGGTCGAAGAGGTATGGGGTAGGTTTAAAAATGTAGTGTTAGTGTGTTCAGCAGAAGTTTGTGGTTACAGGAAAGTGGGTGCGGGAGGGAAGAGGAGCGATTGGTGGAATGATGATGTAAAGAGAGTAGTAAGGGAGAAAAAGTTAGCATATGAGAAGTTTTTACAAAGTAGAAGTGATGCAAGGAGGGAAGAGTATATGGAGAAAAAGAGAGAGGTTAAGAGAGTGGTGAAGCAATGTAAAAAGAGAGCAAATGAGAGAGTGGGTGAGATGTTATCAACAAATTTTCTTGAAAATAAGAAAAAGTTTTGGAGTGAGATTAACAAGTTAAGAAAGCCTAGAGAACAAATGGATTTGTCAGTTAAAAATAGGAGAGGAGAGTTATTAAATGGAGAGTTAGAGGTATTGGGAAGATGGATGGAATATTTTGACGAATTGTTAAATGTTGATGAAGATAGGGAAGCTGTGATTTCGTGTATAGGGCAAGGAAGAATAACATCTTGTAGGAGTGAGGAAGAGCCAGTTGTGAGTGTGGGGGAAGTTCGTGAGGCAGTAGGTAAAATGAAAGGGGGTAAGGCAGCCGGGATTGATGGGATAAAGATAGAAATGTTAAAAGCAGGTGGGGATATAGTTTTGGAGTTGTTGGTGCAATTATTTAATAAATGTATGGAAGAGGGTAAGGTACCTAGGGATTGGCAGAGAGCATGCATAGTTCCTTTGTATAAAGGCAAAGGGGATAAAAGAGAGTGCAAAAATTATAGGGGGATAAGTCTGTTGAGTATACCTGGTAAAGTGTATTGTACAGTTATTATTGAAAGAATTAAAAGTTAGACGGAGAATAGGATAGCAGATGAACAAGGAGGCTTTAGGAAAGGTAGGGGGTGTGTGGACCAGGTGTTTACAGTGAAACATATAAGTGAACAGTATTTAGATAAGGCTAAAGAGGTCTTTGTGGCATTTATGGATTTGGAAAAGGCGTATGACAGGGTGGATAGGGGGGCAATGTGGCAGATGTTGCAGGTGTATGGTGTAGGAGGTAGGTTACTGAAAGCAGTGAAGAGTTTTTACGAGGATAGTGAGGCTCAAGTTAGAGTACATAGGAAAGAGGGAAATTATTTCCCAGTAAAAGTAGGCCTTAGACAGGGATGTGTGATGTCACCGTGGTAGTTTAATATATTTATAGATGGGGTTGTAAGAGAAGTAAATGCGAGGGTCTTGACAAGAGGCGTGGAGTTAAAAGATAAGGAATCACACATAAAGTGGGAGTTGTCACAGTTGCTCTTTGCTGATGACACTGTGCTCTTGGGAGATTCTGAAGAGAAGTTGCAGAGATTGGTGGATGAATTTGGTAGGGTGTGCAAAAGAAGAAAATTAAAAGTGAATACAGGAAAGAGTAAGGTTATGAGGATAACAAAAATATTAGGTGATGAAAGATTGGATATCAGATTGGAGGGAGAGAGTATGGAGGAGATGAATGTATTCAGATATTTGGGAGTGGACGTGTCAGCGGATGGGTCTATGAAGGATGAGGTGAATCATAGAATGATGAGGGGAAAAGGGTGAGTGGTGCACTTAGGAGTCTGTGGAGACAAAGAACTTTGTCCTTGGAGGCAAAGAGGGAATGTATGAGAGTATAGTTTTACCAACACTCTTATATGGGTGTGAAGCATGGGTGATGAATGTTGCAGCGAGGAGAAGGCTGGAGGCAGTGGAGATGTCATGTCTGGGGGCAATGTGTGGTGTGAATATAATGCAGAGAATTCGTAGTTTGGAAGTTAGGAGGAGGTGCGGGATTACCAAAACTGTTGTCCAGAGGGCTGAGGAAGGGTTGTTGAGGTGGTTCGGACATGTAGAGAGAATGGAGCGAAACAGAATGACTTCAAGAGTGTATCAGTCTGTAGTGGAAGGAAAACGGGGTAGGGGTCGGCCTAGGAAAGGCTGGAGGGAGGGGGTAAAGGAGGTTTTGTGTGCGAGGGGCTTGGACTTCCAGCAGGCGTGCGTGAGCGTGTTTGATAGGAGTGAATGGAGACGAATGGTTTTTAAAACTTGACGTGCTGTTGGAGTGTGAGCAAAGTAACATTTATGAAGGGGTTCAGGGAAACCGGCAGGCCGGACTTGAGTCCTGGAGATGGGAAGTACAGTGCCTGCACTCTGAAGGAGGGGTGTTAATGTTGCGGTTTAAAAACTGTAGTGTAAAGCACCCTTCTGGCAAGACAGTGATGGAGTGAATGATGGTGAAAGTTTTTCTTTTTCGGGCCACCCTGCCTTGGTGGGAATCAGCCAGTGTGATAATAAAAAATGATAATAATAAATAAATAAATAAATATATATATATATATATATATATATATATATATATAATATGTGTGTGTGTGTGTGTGTGTGTGTGTGTGTGTGTGTGTGTGTGTGTGTGTGTGTGTGTGTGTGTGTGCGTGTGTGTGTGTGTGCGTGTGTGTGTGTGTGCGTGTGTGTGTGTGCGTGTGTGTGCCGAATAGGCAGAACTTGCGATCTTGGCTTAAATAGCAACGCTCATCTTGCCATATAGGACAAGCGAAAATTTGTGTATGCAATAATTTCGCCAAATCATTCTGAACCTAACGTAAAAAATATATTTCACTGTGTTTGTTTAGTATTAAATTATTGTAAACAAATCTAAAATATATTTAGTTGGGTTAGGCTAAAATAAATTGTTCTTGTTATAAAAAGGTTAGGGAAGTTTTCTAAGATTCTTTTGATGCAAAATTAAAATTTTTTACATTAACATTAATGAAAAAAATACATCTTTAAACGTATAAGAGAAAATTTTAGAAAGGACTTAATTTTAAATGAGTTCTTGCTAATTGACCAGTTTTACATATTCGGCACGACATATATATATATAATATATATATATATATAATATATATATATATATATATATATATATATATAAATATATAAAATATATATATATATACATGTATATATATTCCCTTTAATTTTTACACTCTTTTTTGTCCCCTTTGCCTTTATACAAAGGAATTATGCATACTCTGCCATTCTCTAAGTACCTTCCCCTCTTCCGTACATTTATTAAATAAAAGCACCAGGTATTCCAAAACTATTTTTCCATCTGCTTTAGCATTTCTGTCTTTATTCCATCAATCCCAGCTGCTTTACCCCTTTTCATTCTACCCACTGCCTCACGCACCTCTTCCATACTCACCGCTGGCTCTTCCTCAATCCTACAAGATGTTATATCTCCCTGCCCAGTACAGGAAATCACAGCTTCCCTATCTTCATCAACATTTAACAGTTCCTCAAAATATTCCCACCATCTTCCCGAAACATACAACTCTCTATCTAATAACTCTCCGTTTCTATTTTTAACTGTCAGATCCATTCATTCCCTAGACTTTCTTAACTTATTTATTTCACTGTTATTGAACTCATTCTCAGCAAAATTTGTTGATAGTATCTCACCCCCTCCTTTTACATTCCTTCACCACATTCTTAACCTCTTTTTTTCTCTTCATATTTCTTCCTTCCATGCATCACTTCTACTTTGTAAAAACATCTCATATTCTAACCTTGTCTCTCTTACTACTCTCTTTACCTCATCATTCCACTAGTTGCTCTTCTTCCCTCCCGCACCCACTTTCCTTTAACCAAACACTTCTGCTGAACCTTCTAAAACTACATTCTTAAATCTTCAGCCTTATTGCCTATACTCTCACTAGCCTATCTTTTTTCCAGTATTGCTTATATCTTATATCTTATATCTGCCTCCTTTAGTTTATTAACTATTACCTCTACCTCTATCTCTTACTAATATTATTCTCCTTGTTTCCCATCTGCCTTTTACTCTCACTGTAGCTACAGCATAAAATTGATCTGATATATCTGAGGCCCCTCTAAAAACATGCACATCCCGAAGTCTACTCATCAGTCTTTTATCTTTCAATACAAAAATCTAACAGACTACTTACTGTCATTACGCCCTATTTCATATCTTGTATACTTATTTATCCTTTTTTTTTTATTGAAAATGTACAATACTTATTACAAAACCTCTTTCAATACGAAGTTCAATAAAAGGCCTCTATTATCATTTACACCTGGCGCCCCCAAACTTACCTACCACGCCCTCTATAACAGTTTCACCCAATTTAGCATTCGTGTTCCCCACAACAACTATTGTCTCACATGGTTCAAACCTTCCCAAACACTCGCTTAACATCTCGCAAAATTTCTCTTTCTACACTCCTTTCTACTCCAGGTGCATAAAAACTTATTATTACCCACTTCTAGCCACTATCCCTTACTATAATCCATATAATTAGTGAATTTATGTTTATATTCTCCCTTCTTCAATAACTCATCCTTCAACATTATTGCTACCCCTTCCTTAGCTCTAACTCTCTGAGATACTCGTAACCTAACCCCATTTATTCCTCCCCACTGAAACTACCCTACTCCCATCAGGTTTGTTTTGCTTAGTGCTAGAACATCCAACTTCTTTTCATTACAAACATTAGCCATCACCATCATCTCTTTCTTATCGTCAGTACTACATTCATGCATATTCAAATATCCC